CACCTCATACCCTATCATTTGGTTTGGTTCAGTTCGACCGACCAAATAGACTCGGCTTCAAGGGTTGCTTCTTACATGTCTCATGCTACAGGGATTGTGCCCCGTATCTTAGCACTTGGTTTGATTAGCAGAGAGGACTTAGTTACACAAGGTTACGAGAATATAACGAATAGTCTCCTCACAGCTTTCACCAAGACAAGACATCTAAGAGAATACTCGATCGACCCGGTAGGCTGCCTTTTGGGTAAGGTAGCTCTTCGTTAGACCAGCTACTCTCCAAGCTAAATACTCTTTAGCTTAGGAGTCGGGGGTGTTAGAGTTAGTGCCCTAGAGCCAATCGATTTTGTAAAATTGACTCTTTGTAATAATGTTTATTAATCAATAAAAGACAATTTTCTTTTATATCATGTAAATCATAATTTCGTGCATTGATATATGTCCTTAGGATGGTAGAATCGTGACGAGAGTATCAAGTGTTTCAAATCTTGATAGTGAAAACCTTATGATCATATATGGTGGTCATTCTAGAAATGTTCGTAGCCCTAGTATTATTCTAACCAAGGACACAAATAATACGATAAGACTATTATAGTGTTTATGCTTACTGTAGGTAAGTTCACTGGACAAACACACTAGAGGATTTCAGATAGATGGTAACCCCAGTATCTATGGAATAAATCCTCTAACGAATGGTGGTGCATGTGATCCTTAGACTTGAGATCATCGGAGCACCTTGTGCACTGATTAGTGTAGTTTGACACTAGCCTAACGTAGTTCTATTTAGAGCTATCAATACGGTAGTGATTGGCTGCATTGAGGAGTGTATCAAGACTATGGTGGATCAACAAAGGATTCATCACTCCCGGATATGGGAGAAGTAATCTCACGATGCAATTTGGTGAATGGTAATGACACTAAAGCTATGACCATAGTGGGATTGAGTTGTTGCTTATTATTCTGGTCATTGGTCCATAACTGAATACAAAGATATCGAGGATAACTGATGTTGACACTATTTATGTACCTCAGCCTCGATGAGATAACGGATGATGAAAGAATTTGATTGCACGGTAACCATATTGTTGATAGGTAGTTATTTCGCTGAATCCGAATCTATCAGGTGGTCATGATGCCTTACTAAGGGCCAATCTTGGTCTGCGAGTAGTGAGACAATTAATTGGTGTTAATTATGATACTACTCACTGCATATATGATAAGGAGCCTATGGGTTACACACTTAGAAGATTATTTAAGAATCGTTTTTGTGAAAGGGGTATTTTCATCTTTTAGGACAAAAGGGTATTTTGGTAATCTCATAATGCAATTAAATTTGCTGAGGTTGTAGCTGTATTTAATTTTAATATTACAATTAAAATTAGTGAGATTATATTAAAATATATGTGCGCATGTATTTAAATGGATTATTATTAATAATTAAATGTTAATATATTATTTTATATTAGTTGATTTTAATTATATTAATAATTAATTAAAATTAAAAATACCATAAAGGGTGTGTTTGGTTACAAGGATTGATTAACTTGAGAGTCTATGGCTATTCCTATTAGGATTAGGGTTTTAATTAAGTGACACTATATAAGTGAAACTTAATTAAAACATAATAGAACAATTATTCATTCAGTGAATAAAAGAAAAAACCCAAGCCACCCTTCTCCCTCTCTCACGTTTTTCAAAGTGTTTTTGAATCAAAGAATTTTTTTTTTTTGTTTTTTATTCACTTGCTTCTTGAAGCCTTCTATTTGTTCTATTAAAACAGTAGTAGGTTATACGGATTATCTTCGTGTGGACGACGTTTGTGCAATTCTCTTCTTGAATCGACAAGCAAAACTAAAGTATTGAAGGAGCCTCCAAACGTTGGTAAGTTATTCTGAATCCTTGAATGGATTTATTATATTGTTTTAATGCAGAATTTATAAACATGTAAACATTATAATCTATACCCAGATTTGGGATTAAGAATTTGATCGGATTTTTATTTGTTTTGAATCTATGTTTTTCGCTACGTATACCTGATCACTTGCTAACGAGGGGTTGACTATGGGGGTCAAAATCACCCGGGCATGTTCCACCATAGTGGCCCAAGCTTATGATCCAATTTTGGTTGGGTCAGCATCGAAGCTCGTGACTTGGGTCGAGTCACGATCCCCAAATCCAGCCTTCTTTCAGAATGGGCAACACTGACGGCCCACCTAAGGCCAGGCCTCCTGTTTTGTTCTATCCTAATTCACCCAAGATTGCATATCTTAGGAAAATTAAGACTCCTGTTACTATTAATTCAAGTGAATTTGGATCTTTCCTATTCACAAGACCTCTTCCCTTAAGGATTTAGAGTCCCATCAAGATACAAAGATCTTACAACTACAATATAAACAGGGGTCACTCCACTGTTTAGGCATTCAGCCTCAATATCACCTATCAAGCACCTAAGCTCTTACTCCTAAGAGTTATACTACTACGTCATGGTTCTAGTCTCCGACTTAACCTCTAGTAATCCTTAACTATCTTACCCTCACTAAATTGTCTCATTTAGCTTTACTGACTTGAGCGTCGGAGTGCCTACAGCAAACACCACACCGATGTCCAAGTAAGCTCCACACTTGTTTGCTTTGTGTGCAGGTACAACAGATTGCTTGTGGCCTCAACCTCTCGGGATTAGACCATATTTCCGCAATCGTAGATTTTAACATCTATAATAACCCTAGTAATCTCATATAACCCCCAACTAAATGCTGCCTAATGGTTTAAATAGCCTTGGTTCAGCTTTAGAATTGACTCATTGATTTGACAATTAATTCATTGTAGAATGCCATCTGGAATCAAGCTTTGATGTAATACATATATGTACATAACACAAGCATAAGCATGCATTAAAAACGAACAAAAAGATATGTTTATTCGTTAACTATAAAATGAACAGTAACCAAATTAATTAAAAAAAGAAAAACTCTTATAACAAGGATTAAGATATACGGTTCATCATGGCTCTTGGATTATGCTTTTTTCAAATTAGCTATGCTTACAGTAGAGTTGGCAATGTCATCGAACGGGGGGATTTTTTGGTGACCTATGCCCACTCTTTGTTAAAACAATCTGATTGATTAATGTATTATTATCAGGTCGGGAGATTCAATGATTCATTATTTTGATAGCGGCATAGAATTATTCTTTATCCCCATTGTGAATTAGTCCATGCATTCTGCAGATTTATTTAATTTGTTGACGTCGAATGCATGCGCCCACAAGAAATTAAAAGAGAAAACATAGATTTGATCTCACAGGGACAAGAGAGACATGGGCATGGATATGTCAAGCCTGTAACAGTTGTCTCATCGAATTAAACGCTGATTTTTTTGCATATCTAAAATTAGGGATAATCCGGACAGTTGAAAGGAAACATTTGATGATGTTCTAAGGAGACAATTATGTTATTATTCTTATCAGTTAATTGATATTCAGTATAATTAATAACAATATTGATATCCTGTATCTTAAAAGCAAGGTTTTGAAACCTAGCTCGGGGTTAAACCCAGCAAAGTAGTCGGGTCCCGGGTTGACCGATTGAACAGGTTTGACAGGTGGATCAAATCAGTGATGTCAACATGTAAAAGGTTTGAAAACTAACAAAAAACACCCCTTAAAATTACTAAGTTCCTATAGGTTTGAAATCTTACAAAAACACCCCAAATTACCCTCCCAGCATCGACAACCTAGACCAAATAGGGCATGTTTCCAATCAACAATAGACCCCATCACCACGAAAACTCTCCTCTCATCCTCGTGACCAAAACCCATCTCACCCCACCCAAGTTTACCTCAACAATTTGCTGTTGCCGCCGATTTATTTTTGCAATTTTCAGTCGTTTCGCTCACTGAAAATTACCTCTGTGGTCACCTTTCCATTCACCTACCCTTTCTCTTCAAAATCCTCAACATCTCGACCTTCAATTGTTTACTGATGGTCGTCCTAATTTATAGGGTTTTTGATGAATAGTAAAATTGGTAACCGGCTCGGTGAAGGCCCTGGGTTCCGGTTGAACCAGTTCAACCTATCGGGGCCAGGCCGGGTTTTAAAACACTGCTTAAAAGTCTTTAGGCCCATCAACAAACAGAGAAGCAAAAACCTCCATTTTCTTGGTTTCTCCAAAGAGTAATGCTATGTGCACTAACAAATGTGTACTAATCAAAGTATTAACATTGAAATTTTGAAATTTTTTTTTGGAGGGAATTTCAAATTTCCAATGTTAATACTTGGATTAGTGGTTAGTGCACATAATTTTATTCTTCTCGAAAACCACACCGATCATGAAATCTACCAGAACTGGAGGATCTACCTAAACGGCTCCTGTAATCTGCTGTGAGTCCAAACATAATGCCTCTATTATCTCCTCTTAATCATTGGTTATAATGATGAATTATTTCTCTCGTATTTTCTTTAAAAAAAAAAAAAAAAAAAAATACTTGCAGAAGCAAGATAATTCTGATTCTGATTACAGATTCATCTTTCAAGTTTCAGCCATATTATTAAGATGGACCGCGGCCGTATATGACAAATATCCTTAGGCTGAGTTTATCACTATTATAATATATAAAGACAGACAATTTTCAAAGACAGGATAGAATTATATCTTCTCCGTTAGAAATTTTTTTTTGCTTCAATTTTGTCATGCGGCAGATTTTTCTGTTCGAATTGAAATGCGTATAGAAGAGGGAGTTTGACGATTAAAATACATTTTTAAATCTTCAGTCAGACATTCACGTGATGACTTTATAAACAGTGAGAAAAAATGCCTTAAAAATTGAGGGAAAGGTTAGAGTAGTTGAGACAATAAAGAGGTGACAGATAAGAGGAGATTAATTATAATACAAAGGGAAAATGAAGCTCCAGCATCTCCGGCAATCGGGAAAACAAATACATGTAAAATAAGAAGAAGTTGACTGCAGAAAATCCAAAACGATTTAAGATAAAAATAATGCAAACCTTATATGTTATCTTTTAGCCCAGCGACAAATAGAGCAGAAAAAACTTCCATTTCTTGCTTCTTCAAAGCCACACCAATCTCAACACCACCGCTTCTATCTCTACTCTTGGCCAAAGCAATAGCTCCACTCCTATCTATTGATACAATCTCTACCTTCTTCGGTCTCCCCCACCCGAAATCTGACCCGTATACGTCAAACTGGGTCGACCCGGCTACCGAAAGGGCTTGTACTCCTTCAGACATGGATTTAAGTGCTATCAACATCCTTGAAAGTGTGTCTTTTCTTCCTTCAAGTTCTCCCCTTTCTAACGCTTTGACTACATGGCTTAATTTCTCTGCAACAAAGGCAACCCCGTTTTCTTCTGTCAAGTCTCTTGCTGTTGCAGTGCATAGATGTGGCATAACGCAATTGCCAACATAATTCAATGGAACTGGAGGGTCTGAACGAGTCCTGTAATCTGCTGTGAATGCGAAAATAACACTTCTGTTGTCTTCCTCTCTTCTAGATTTAACCATGCAGACGAATACATATGCCAATGTTAGCAAAAAAGTTGATAAATGAAGTTGTTTTGCTGTTTTATCCTCCTCCTTTTCATTATCTTTATTCAATATAAACAACACCTGATTCCTTATTTTCGTGATATCTTCACGGGTCAACTCAAATGGGGCTCGAACCCAATCGGTATTCGGTGCTATGTTTGGCAAAACCTTCAAGCTTCATGTGTTGATATAAGCGAACCAGTTGTTCACGTACTCCATGTCGATACCAGTGGGATCTTTGATGACAGTTCGGTCAAAAGACGGGATTTGTCTTGGTAAAAAGAAGGATTTCTTCTTGATCTTACCTTGTTTGCATAGATAAGCCCATGACTTGATAAACGTGGTTGAACTTTTCATCAAATATGGCATGGTGAGTTGTGATGCCGATGGAAAACCCTTGACTGGAAACAAAGTTATTTGTATAGCAATCATCGCTGCTTTGTCATCAGATGCAACAGCTGAGGGATTAAGGGATGAAGTTCCACAACTTCATGAACTTCATACCAGAAAGCGAATTGAAGTCGGCGGTAGATCTGCAACAGTGACCGCAACGCCATCGTTTGGGGAGTAGTAGATGTACGGCTTTGGGGCATTGGGGGCCAGATAAGGTTCCCAAAGAGGGAGGTAATGGAGGAGAGTGAGAGAGAGAGTGTGCTTGAGCTTGGGGAGGATAACTGAGTTGAAGAAATGAGGGGTTAAGTCAGTGATTTGGTAGAAGTAAAGGCGTTCAACAGGAGGAAAATTAACCAAAACGTGTCGTATAAGTTAAAGGGAGAGAAAACTCGGAGGTTGAGTCGGAGGAAGGGTAACTAGAGAAACTCTGTATTTTGACGGTGTTGGATGATGATGCCATGAAATTAAGAGAGAAGAGATGTAATGGCTAATGATCTCTTAAGGGTTGCTGATATATCTTAAAACCACGAGGCCTCTGAGTCTCGGGTTGAGCGGTCTCACTGGCTTGATTGGTAGGTCAAATGGGTGTCCAAAGATTTAAAATTTAACAAAATACTTTAAAAAAAAATAAGTCTTATAAATTTGAAATCTTGTAAAAACACTCCAAACACCACAATTAACATTGATAAATAGGGTCTGTTTCCAGCCACGACAACACTCTTCATCACCACAAAAATACTTTCCTCAACCTCTGACCAAAACCCATCTCTTCCCTCGTTTGTCTCCCCAATCGCCAACGACAATAGGTTTTTTGACATTATTTTGCGATTTCTAGTCGATTACTCACTGAAATAAACAGTTGTCACCATTCTACTCACTAGTCATTCCTTTCTAAAACCCTAACATTTTAGTCTTTAATTGTTCATAGATTGATATCTTAATTTTTAAGGTTTGAATAAATGGAAAATTTGTAACTGACCCAATCAGGTCGGATCCTAATCACCGCCCACAATACTCTCAAAAAGAAACCGTTGAATAGTTAAAGCTGAAGATAATTACTTATCACGACTCTTGGACATGATTTGTTTAATTTAATCTAATATATGCTCTGCCATTTATGAAATTGCTTGTTCTTTCTTGAATTAATTATTTATTGTATTTGTAATCGTTGAAACTTCCAAAGTCGATGCCCTACTGATTAAGATTGATCACCATTGTCTATATTTTAATATATGGCAGTTTGAATTGAGACTTCAGAATGTGATGGTAGTCCAATTAAAGGCAGCGTACAGATGCAGAAATATAAAATAAAGGAATTCCACCTTCACTTTGACTCATCTCCTTTATTAGTGACTATTGAATTGCAATTAATTGTAGAATGCCATCTAGAAATCAGCCCTATGATAAGCCAAATCTTTTTTTTAGTAATATGGAAAAACTTGTAGATTTTAGAAAAAAAGGTACTTTTTTTGTTTACCAACTATTTAAATAGGGTTTCTTGAACAATCTTATTTAATTTATTCTTAGCATCAATCTGGGTTCTTGCACTATACATTTGCTTACGGTACTTTGTTAATTATGCTCTTACCTGACTGTTTGCGTATATAAATTTATAAATGATCAGTCGAGGTTCAAATGAAAAGTGATTTAGGAGCTGGTAGCATCTTCTTAGTAATTGTAAGTCGAAAGATGATGATCTTGGAGATCATCTTTCTCCTGATACTTACTTTAAATTTAAATTCCGACTTGACTTTTGAGGAACAACAAGATTCTACTGTAGCTTTGCATGGAAAAAACGAATTTCACTGGTTTGAAATTCAAATGGCAAAGGGTATAAGTGCAATGTCTGTATGTAGGTAATTAGAGCAAAAGGTCCATGTACGTTAATAAGAGAAACTAAGGGGTATGATATATGTTATGACTGTTATCGTGTAATAACTAGGGGAGTTTCAATTCAGAATAATAGATTTTTAGTTCAGTTGAAGGCAGATGTAGTAATGTAATGTGACACAGTTGAATAAAATTTATTACCTTGTGAATTCACCATTGAATAAATTTATACTTTAGATGGAAGATTGTAGCTTGTTTTCTTTCTTTTTTTGTAACTAGAGTGTTAGAGTCAGTTTGCGCGTACATAAATTAATCTCCAAGATCTATTAAATATTCTACAAGTCCAAAGATTAGATAAATTATAATATTATTGTAGTAAGTGGACCCAATATTTGAATATAAAATCAAAGAAGGAAGCCTTGATCACTGGACCAATCCCTGGAGTGTGATTCTTTTATGATTTCATCGTGAGTTGAGTTTGTATCTCCTTGGGAAAACATATAAAATCATATACAACTTATATAAGGTATAATAGTATCTTGCATGTTTGGCTTAAATTTTTATCTCTATTCTGGATCCTATTCTCTAAATAATTGTTGGCACACTTTCAGAAATATTACTCTATTTTTTAATTACATTTTAACCCCATAAGGTATTAATTTCACTAAATACCCCCTGAAAAAAAGTTAAAAATTAACAAAAACACCCATCAACCCAACTTGTCAGATTCCGGCAACCACCGTCGGTGATAGCCGGAATCTGTACAAACGGCCTAACTTCTGACCAGAAATGGCCGGAAGTTCACTGCTGTGGCCTTTCGGCCAGATCCACCACGGATCTGGCCGTCAGCGATGGCCAAAGAAATGGCCATCGTTGACCGAAAACGGGGCCATCTGGCCGTCAGGAAAACGACGGCCACATCTTTGGCCATCATGGCCCTCGTTTGGCCTTTTCTGGCCGTCGACGGCCATAACAGACCGTAGATCTGGCCCTTCGGCCAGACCATGTGTGGTACGGCACAGATCCGACCGGTCTGTGCCGTAACGAAATTTTCAGGTCAGATTCCGGCGGTGGTGGCCGGAATCTGACACTGCAGGTGGTGGGGGTGTTTTTGTCATTTATATGTTAGGGTCTTTAGTTAAATTAGTAAACCTAAGGGCTTTTTCACAAATTTTTAAAATTTACCTCGTAATACTCCCCTATCCAATAACCCATACTATCCCTAAAATCTATCCAAAATACTAAACCAAACGCACCCATCATTTTTATGGGGATCACTGATCAGGAATATATTACTTATTTCCTATTGAAGACCTCTATAGGTCCCACGGCGGGACAAGAGACTATCCCTGAATTAAAAAAAAAAAAAAAAAAAACCCATAAGTTTCTATAAACGTACAACTACGCCCTAAATAGTTTAAAGGTTTTATAAATTACCCAATCCTATAATCATGTCCGAAAGCAAAATAAATAAATTGGCTAGATTATCAATAAATAAGGCTAATGTTACGGAAATTTAATTGAACTCATTACATGTAAAAAACTTGTAAAGTCAATATTTTTGCCTAAACTTAATAAATTGTTGTTTTGGTGTAGTGTAGGAGAAATCTCTTATTATCTTAGGATTTCTATTCTAAATGGTTTTTAATTTATTTTATATTTAGGAAATTCTGATTTTTTATATATATATTTTTTATGTTATAGTATTATTCATTTTATCTAATATGTATAGTAGTATTATCAGTTTAAAAATATTAAAACATGTCAAAGACAGTTGTAATTATATTGTATAAAAAATTGATCAATAATTCTTAAAGTTTTAATATTTATCATTATGTTAAAATTATAGATTATTATATAACTTTTTGAAAACTTTCCTTTCTCACTTTGAATTCAAAGCTCTGCCACTACGCTGCCCAAGCCTACTATAAGTATATGATGCTAAAAATAATGTTAGCTCATAGGAGATAGGAGAGAGAATTTGTGGAGGCGTCACAAATTTTGTTAAGATGTAAGGTGTTTTGGATAAACTTATTATGGGATAGCATTGGTTTTGGGGCTTTCATAGCTAGGGCTGTTTTCGAGCCGAGTTTTCGGCTAAACGAGCTTAGCTCGTTAAGGGAAGAGGCGAGTTCAAGTTCGAGCTGAGCCGGATGAGCAGTTGATTTCTTGGCTCGGCTCAAACTTGTTAAGGGAGAAGAGATTTCTGGTTTAACGAGCCAAGTTCAAGCCGGCTCGTGAGTCAGTACAAAAACAGGCAATTTTTTGAAGTTAACTCAAGTACATATACACAAGTGCAGTACATCCACTTCGCATTAGAAATATATAAAAAACTAAACAAAGTTATGTCTCGAAGCCATCAAAATTGACCCAGATTCATCAGTCACATGCTGCATCTTCCATCCTAATCATTTCATTCAGTGACTTTCATTTAGATAAAAAAAATTACTAAAAGTTGGAATCAAAAGGCGTCGGCAATGAGATTGATGACAAGAACAATGGGCAACACCAACACGAGCGTGACAGCGAGAATAAGGCGGTGACAACAATGACCAGACAATGATGACAACAATAAGAAGGTGACAACAGTGGGCAACAGTGATGACAACAGCATGGTGTTGGGCAACAACAACAACGTGGTGTTGGGCGATGGCGACAGCCTGGTGGTGGATTGGGTTTCAGTGTTTCATGGCGAGAGTTGAAGGGGTAGATGGAGTCTGCGATGCCAACAACTCTCCGACAAATCAGATGGT